AATGAAAATTAAAGCCAGCAAATGACTTTCAGACAAGACATAACAAAAATATAAAATTTATTGGCTAACGTTTCGTTGTATTGTTCACAACATCTTCAGAGCAATTAAACTTATTTACAAGCGTGCATTATATATATATATATATATATATATATATATATATATATATATATATATATATATATATATATATATATATATATATATATATATATATATATATATATATATATATATATATATATATATATATATATATATATATATATATATATATATATACATATATATATATATATATATACTATATATATATATATATATATATATATATATATATATATATATATATATATATATATATATATATATATATATATATATATATATATATATATATATATATATATATATATATATATATATATACAAATATATATATATATATATATATATATATATATATATATATATATATATATATATATATATATATATATATATATATATATATATATATATATATATATATATATATATATATATATATATATATACAAATAGTTTCAAACGGTTACAGTATTCAAATAAGCGAATAAGAGGAAGGATGAAAAACAACCTGTCATTAGTAAATTAAAGATATAATGGTTTAGTAATTAGAGATTTATTTTTTATTCAATGTCTTACCTGGATGGGGACTGTCGCCAAAAACAAGTCGAAGCAGTTCCAAACTTCGTTTGTACCATGCCAAAGCCTCGTTATTCAGATTACAATGTTCATAGACAGTTCCTGCATTCACATAGATTAGGGACAACTCAGTACTGAGATCTGCTTCGCCAAATAATTTCTTGCTGAGATGCAACGCTTGTTTTACATATTCCAATGACTGTGCATGCTCGTCCAATTCAGTGAAAGACAAGGCGATATTAAGGAATAGTTGTATAACATCTCTGTCAGGAACGTCCGTCAATCTATTTTGCATCTTTTGGACTTCTTTAAAGGTTTCAACTGCTAAACTCATATTGCCAAGCTCATGATAAGCTAAACCAAGATTTTGCATTAATCGACTTAAAGTGATTGTCTCAGAACCTTCGCCATAGATTTCGTTGTGTTTCTTAATCGCTTCCTCCAACTTAATTCTGGCCGTTTCATACTGTCCAATGCGCAGCAGAGATACTGCAAGATTATCAAGACATCGGAGCACACTAAGATTTGAATTCCCTTCATTCTGGTAATGTACTTCTAGCGCATTTTGAAAGCATTTAACACTCTTCTCAAACTCTCCATATTCATTATGGATCATGCCTTGACCGTTAAGACTGGCTGAATAATCCGGACTATCTTTGGACTCAGATTTCATCCACTCTAATGCTTTATGGAAATTTTGCAACCGGTAATAGAGAGTTCCTATTAGGATGGCTTTCGAGGATGCAACGGATGGATTCCTTAATATGCTAATATCAATTTCGTTTCGTTGAATGTATTTCAGACAAAACTGATGGCAGCGTTGATGTATATCATTGCTAGTACTTAAAAGACGGACTAGAATATCTTCATCGAAATAACGGAAAATTGGAGGACCGGCAGATTGCTCTGTGGTGATCCCATATTGAGGAACAGGCGAGAGTAGTTCCTTCTGTCCATCATTAGCAAAGTACGTTTTCAGGCGAATTTCGTTTGCAATCGATAAACACGCATTGACGTTGACCGTTTCTGAGCCACTAATGATCCCGCGAGTCTGCAACTCCGAAATTACTTGCCAGGGTGAGGGAGATCTGATGTCGAATATCAGTCCCAAATCTGAAAGAAGTAGCGAGATGAGACGGTAGAACTGTTTCTTAGCATCGAAAAGAGCACCTACAGTACAGTGTTCGCCAAGGTAAGAAAACTGCGGATGATAGGTACACACGTCCAGTGCCATTTGTTTCATTCCTCGAGTGAAGCCTACAGTTTCAGTAGATTTGACCTCTGCTGCAGATGATTTTGCATTTAATTTTTCAGCCACACGTTCGTTGTATTCATTCAGTAGAGCTTGGTCACCAAAGAGTAATACAGCTCTTGACATAATATCAGCTAAATGATAACAAAAATATTTACTAATAGCACTCCGTTGAGAAACTGTGGAACTCGTTAATGTCATAAATACAATACTAGTAGCCGTTTTGTGTATCCTAAAGATACACAAACACAACAGCGAATGATGTATATAACTTGTCAATTGCCTTGATACAGTGAAAACATTTGTATTCTTGAATAGTCTTTAAGACAGGTGAGTAAAAATGACCGTTTCTAAATCAGGAGGATTTTTTAATGATTTCCTTTTGGCTTTCTTCACGAATTTTTACAAGAAATATTACTTGATAACTAAAAGTTTGTTCCACTTACCCAAATGGTAACCTTCTTTCACAGCAATTTCTTCATCTTGCAATTTGGCCATTTCTTCTGGTGTTCTGATCAACTCTAATGCGGGTTTATTCTTCGTTGCCATTCTTCCCAGTGCAGTTTTGGACGCCCATGGCATTGCCCCATCAAACGAAATACCTCGAGGCGTTTCCGAGTCATAGTACCAATTAGTATTGGGGTCTGAGGACTGAAAATCGTTGAGCTGTTCAATCCCCATAGCTGGTAGGATCATTGAACTATAAATAAACTGGAAGGCTAACTGCTATGATGAAGGCCTATGATTTGATGAAGCCAAAATAGTTTTTCTGAGTTATGAGCAGAAATACTTGACCCCAAACGTCGGCCTATATATCAAATTGAAGCTATTGAAAATTGCTATTCGGTGTGGAAATTTCAAGACTTCAGCGAAAAGAAAAATCTTTAAAAAATACAAAAACAACTGCAAAACGGCAAATTATCGGTAATTATGTTTGTAGTTTTTCAATATTTCCCTTTTAGCTAAAGTCTTGAAATTTCTACACCAAATAGAGTTTTTCAATAGCTTTAA